CTCCGACACAGCATGTCTGCCTACTTGAGTTACTACATTAATGTAGCAGCTCGCCTTAAGTAGCAGAAAACCGTCTTCATTTAGCTCTCATTCTGTCTGAATGGCTGTCTTTCTGAGAACAGTCAGACTGATAGAAAGAAGGCTGACAAGGTAGGAGAAGCCTAAGATATACATTTCATATCTGAGGAGTCATTCATTCGCTCAGATGCTACGACGGGAATCTTCTTTCATGCTGACAGGTGAATCACCAGCATCTGTTTTCCACCTTGATTATGAGCATTAAGTGGTTCTCTTATTAAACTGTTAACTGTAGTATCACAGCATCACACATCTCCGCTTGTTACATCACAAACTCACACCAAAAACATCTGTATTAGAACACACGGTGAGTAGCCAACTTTATAAGTAATTAAATATCAACCAAGTGTTCGGCAGTGAAAACACAAAAGAGTCTCCGCAATCACACACAGCCTGTGAGCTACTCACCCTCCGTGGAGCTGTCTCTGCAGAAGCAAGAGACCACAAATTAAAGCCAACATAACTGGTTAATAGGAGAGTGTGTACATGAAACAGACCAATTGAAGATGAATATTCAGTCAGGAAGCAAACATTAGCATGATGTGGTTATATATCCAATATATCTGTGGTAACAACTGATGAAATCTAATCTATTTACATAGTGAGTATGAATAATGAGCGGTTCTTTTTAAAGTTCTTCTGGTAATACTGGCAAATGGTATGTAATAAGTCAGACCATAAAACAGCGATATATAGAGGAGCAGCAACATACTGAAGGGCAGCAAAGACCATATGAAAGAAATGATGATCCAACAGCTCGTCAGAGAAGCACTCAGCTCTGTCAGTCCACATCAAGCAAATAGCTGCGGCACACAGAAAGCCACTGCTTTACTGTGGAGCCGTATCAATACTATTAGCATAGGGCACACCATTTATCTTCAGTAAAGTGGTCTGAGACAGACATTGAGAGCTCTCCTTAATGCTAAATGGGAAGCTCTGCAGCTGTACGTTGTTATGGAGATATACACAAGCTCTCTGCTCTTGTATACATCTGACACTTCAATTCAATTTCAATTCAATTTCAATTTTATTTATATAGCGCCAAATCACAACAAAAGTCGCCTCAAGGCGCTTCATAGATACAGAGAAAAACCCAACAATCATATGACCCCCTA